CGGAAGAGGTTAAGCTCACCAAACTGAATTACAGCTTATTTCTTAAAAGTATCACTCTCCTTTCAGTCACACAGTCAGCAGAAACTGCTAGGATGTGGCACTTGGCACTCGGAGAAGGAAGTTCTTACCCCCGTGAGTGGCAGGGTTGCCCTACCCTGCACCAAGTCCAGCTGGGACTGCTGCAGCCTGGGGCTCCTGCGGGAGACAGGCAAGAAGCAGACGCTGGACGTGCAGCATCTCGCAGCACCTGCTGATGCTGAACTTGGTAGGCAGTGGAAGGCAACCCCAGTGAGGGAGTCACTCTTGCCTAATGCAGAGGCAGCCTCTCAGCTCTTCCTGAGCCCGGCGCACTGACACCACAGTCCCTCCAAGGTGGAAAATTCAGTTCTTTGACTGAGACAGCTCATCAGCTACCAGCTACTAAGTCTCAGTTCTCCCTTTGCAGATACCTGGCTCCTCCAAAAGTGGTGATATGTCCACCCTTGAAAGAAGGGGTTGTATATTGTGGCGTATCGCCTCACTTTGAGCACTGACAAGTAGATACAAAAAAATTTACGGTGAAGTGGTGTTTAATTAAGCCTATGACACACCTTCTGTGGAGAGCAAGCAGTTGCCGTTTTTCCCAAAGCTCTTTAGACACCCAAAGCAAAAGGACTTGAGAAGACTTGTATCCTGCTTCACCCAGAGGCAAATAGGAGGTCTCTTTGTTGAGGTAGTCAAAAATCTTAAGTGCATGTTACAAAGCGCTAACAAGCTGTCGAACATGGGAATCAAAAACCTGTGATCATGAACCTAAATGAGAATTAAATTGGGTTTTCATTTTATGTCTTATCATATCACTACCAACCTGTAGGACTTGAGAAATTGCAAGGAGTGAAGGGAAATTTCAAAATTATAATCTTTAGGAAAAACAGAGTTTTTGTAGTATTTACCTTTGTGAAGGCACACCATGGCACATTTTTCCTACTGCAGTATTTCCATTTTAATGAAATTGAAATAAAATGGTGTTTATAATGACTACTGTTGGATTCTAACATTTGCCTAATTTGCAAAACATCAGAGAAGATCGCTTCTACCCTTTAACTGAGACAGCTTAACAGTCTTTCCTTTTTAGAACTATGGACATTTAAAAACAGGACTCCGACAAATGCAAAAGTAACTCACTCTTTTTCTGTATGATGAAGTCACAGATCTCATGATACTGGGAAAGATTGCCAAAGACTCTGACAGCCTCCACAATTCCATCCATATTGTTGCTCATTAACAGCTTTAAAAGCACTATTGGTTTGCAGAGAAATGAAATAAAACCAATTACTTGTATATCATAAACGTGTGCTTGGCTTTTTATCAATAAATATCAGAATGCAAGCAGCAACAGCAATAAATGTAATAAATGGGAACAGTTATCTGTCTGTCTGGTTGCGGTGAAGGGGGTGAGCTGATGGTGGAACAAGAGCTAAATTGTGTAGGGCTTTGAAGACGAGATAAAGAGCTCCAATATGGGGCTAAATGCAAAGGAACAAATGAGGAGCGATGAAGATAGCCTAAGCACAGTTGTAATAATGGGACCCAGTTTTGCTACACAGTTTTGAGTGGGCTCATGTGAAAATCCAGGAAGACAAAGAAGAAAAAAATGTTGTAATATATAAGAGAACTGATTTAGATCCTGAACAGATGGTCTTATGGTGGGATGTCTCCTAAAACTCAGATTATTTTCTGACATTAGCTCTATTTTCTCTCAGTGCTGCTATAACAAGCAAAAACATTTTCTCTGAACAGCTACTTAATATTGCCCCTAGTCTGAAGCATTTACTTGCTTGCTGCTTTCCTGCTTAGCAGTTTCACATATGATTAGTGTGTAACTTCAGCAGACAGAATGAGACCTTCAGCATTTCCTAGGAAGAGCTACCATCATGGAGGTTTTCGGTGCACAGCAAAGGAGCGATGTTACAGAAGTTGTATCTATCAGTCTTCCGTGAATAGGAACTGAAGCACTGAAATCAGTCCATCATATAAAGGACTCGAATCCGTCAACCCTTAACCATTCTACCACAGAAAGGTGAGAGAAAAAAATATAGTAAAGAGGTTGGCTTCGTTCCCATTACTTCTGTCTTTGAATGTTGCAATACTGAACATGCCTTGAACTTGTCTTAAAAAGATAGCTGAAATGATTATTTTTTGTCTTTGGGATCCACCACTTGTATCAAACAGGAAGTATTCTCAAAATGTCTCCTGGACGAGCAAGCCTGCCGGTCTTCCATCAAAACGTTTTCTCTCTCCTCAGTTCAGGCAGAGGAAAGGTGATGGGACTGGTTCCACATGCTAACAATAAATACAGGAGAGGGAGAGCAAACGGGGCAGACAGGGAAGTCATTTGTTTCCACATTTCTACAACTAGCAATAAGAGACAGCTGGCTTATGGGTGATAAAATGACTCATCACAGAACAGCAGAACTGTTACCTAGAGAGAATATGGTGTCTACCTGTCAGGGCACTAGGTTGACAGCCAGAATATTTTTTCCTACTCCTCATTCTACCTGCTGCGTGAACTTCAGGCTCTGTCTCTCCCCCACGTCTTGTCTATGTGGAGAGAAAAGTATGCAAGACATGGACTCTCTACCTTTTGTATCACATTAACACAATGAGTCCCAGAACTCAGGTGCCGTTCCTACACATCACTAAAATATGACTATTGTCCATACCGTCAGAGGGGAGAGAATCACACAACTCCTATACTGTCAATGGATTTATAAGCTAGAAACAGACATAAATGAGATTTTGCAGGTCTAGATGGTACTAGGAAGAAAAAAAAAAAACTTTCTTACCATACTCTGATTAGAAGTAAAAAGAAACATGATTATTTTGGCTCAGGCATATGGATTTTGAACAAGTCTAGCAAGAATTGCTAAGCAGAAAACAATATGGCAAATTCCTCTGGGGAAGAAAAGAAGGGGTTTTGTCAACAACGTAACTATTTTCACACAAGTCATAGAATTATGTTCCAAAAGAATGAGAGATCATTATGGGAAGAATTTAGCCCTATGAACTTCATATTCCTGCAATATGATACCACAAAACACTATCAGCGTCTTTATTTTCTGTAGTGTCAAAATATAGCATGAATAACTTCCACTTCCAAAAAGCTATACAAAAAGTACTAGTTTAAAAGTCCTTACTTTCAGCAATCTGTAGCTTCTTGTCTTGAACAGCAGAATTCTTCACTTTGTAGTAGGATAAATTGTTGATTGTTGTTGCAGCATTGGTGACCAATTCCTCACAGTCATCAACTGACTTGTATTCTGATAGTAAAAAAAGAAAAAAAACCAACCCAAAATATATGCATATGTAGATACACACACGCACATGAGTCTGACTTAGCAGTGCATTATATCTCAGAAGCAAACTGAATCATAGTTTACATGGCCACTATTACAGACAACTATTCTGTTTTTCAGTAACATGGCAGAAGCTAACAGGAACAGCTGATCCAAAAATGGCAATACAAAGTAACTCTTTCCAACTCCTCAAACAGAAATCC